TATTTTTAATCTGAAAAGAGCTTCACTGAGTGAGAATAATGTTAGGAGCTCCGCAGACAGTTTAAGTTTCACTTTCACTTTCACCTGAGAGCCTGCAGGAGTCATGGGCAGGGTGTGTGTGGGGAGGGGCGGGGGTGGGGTGCTCTGCCATGAGGAAGTTCGGCTTACAGACACGTCTCAGGGGCGTTTCTGGTCCCCACCTGTCGTTTTGCTCCTCAGCATGGCTTCATAAAAACGCTGCAGGATTTCTCAAACATGCATGAATGAGTCAGAGCAAGGCTTTGGGCATGTTTTTTATGAGATATAACATTATAACATGATATAAAACCCAAAAAAGTTGATTTTACATGACATTGCCCCTTTAACACAAGTTACCAGGCAGGAATGATGTTTGCAGATAATAAAATGAGCATATGAAACAATTCAGAAGGAAAAATAATTTGCATAGTTTTTATTAGAACTGGATACAAATACCTGAGTAGTAATACACAAGATAAAACTGTGAAGCTTCAAGTATAAAAACCATAAACATTGAAGATAACCCAAGACAGATTTATTTAGGATATGAAGACACAAACGGTGCACCAAATATGTAACAGCTCAACAATTTTCCCCCCTGACCGTTATGATAAATAAACATATTGTAGAACGTTGTTGTAAATGGAACTTAAATAATAAAAACATGCCGAACCTGAAAATTCAGGTAATGTAAAAGAAAGGTTGTTTCACAATGGAGTCATCATTTCTTTAATAAATTTGTTGCTTTGTCCCGTTACTCTTTTTTCGTTTTCTTCTTGAACGTGTCAATAACAGACGGAGTGCTGCGCTTCACACCTAGAACAAGAAACAAAAAGAAAGATTCATTTAAAGCTAAACTTTCTGTAATGATATTATAGAAAAAAAAAGTTGACTCTTCTGATCATACCTTGCTTTTTGACTGGTGACTGAGCTGGTGACCTCTTAGCATAAGCTGCTTTCATCCTCTGAATGTTCTTCTTGTGCACTTCTTCGTGCTTCACAATGGGACATGGGTAGTCTTTACCCACAATGCATCCTGCTGCCTGCTGGACACTGCGTGGAGCCTTCCAGGGCTCATAAATATACTCCGCTGGGAACTTCTTCAGACAAGGAAGGTACTTCCTGGATGAACAGGAAAGTCAGAATTATTTGACATTTACAGATCCTGACTTTAACGAGGTTATGATCGTACTTTATGTAGTCTCCATTTTTGTCTGTCTTCTTGCCGAACGCAACGGGAGAATAAACCCTGAAGAACTGGTGGAAGAAGGTGCTGGCTGACAACCACTGCCAGTTCCCAGCATTCAGAGCCCAGTCTCCATCCAACAGGAGCTCCTCAAAGACCTTCGAGGAGGAAACAAACCAATCGAAATCACGAACAAGAATCAAACATGAGGACAGGTTCTGGGCTTTAACACACCTTCTGCCCTTCCTCCCAGCTGATCCACAGGTCTCCTCTGGTCAGGAAGCAAGCGACGGCATGTCTGGCTAAGTGGTGCATCCAGCCCTCCTGTCTCAGTTGAGTCATGATGGCATCAATGAAGGGATATCCGGTCCGAGCCTCGGGGGAAAAATGCAACAAGACGACAAATTATTCAGAGCAGAGAACACAACATTATTCAAATTTTAAAAAGTTATGACGTGAATCCATGATTTTAACCTCAGTACCTCTCTCCATGCAGCTAAATATTCGGGGTTGGTATCCCAGTCCACCTGTGTGCACACAGGGTTTCCCTCCATCTTGTTGAAATTGGGGATGCCCACACTGGCCGTGTAGAAGAACTCCCTCCACAGTAACTGGCCGTGAAGGGAAACCGGAGGATCCGAGTGCTTTTTCTGCACACAGAGTTGAGAAAATCTACAGTTAGAACCATGTCTGTTTGGACAGAGACAACGTTCTTTGTAATTTTTGATTCTGAACATTATTACAATGAACTATAAACAAAACATTTCAGATGCAGTTGAAGTTACGACTCGAAGCTTTCGCCTTTTTTTTTCCAGGTATATGTTTTTTCCTCCTTGCCCTTGTTTTAAACTAAACTGAGGCAGCACACGCATGCACATTATATCTGCACATGGTTCATGCTCCTTCCTGTCTGTTGACCAATAATAGAGCAGCTGACCCAGGAAGAACCGCCCACCTTATTTGCATAATTAGGCAGAAATGCATAGTAAAAACAGGAGACAGAGAAATTTGAAATCAACACTTGAAAATAACAAGACTTGTGGGGAAATATAATTTAAAAATTTAAGTGACACAGATGCATCTGCAAGTATAAGGAAATAAAAAATACACATTTTTTTTAAACGGTAAGATGTTATTTATGTGCTAAAATACATAATTTGTTGGAACTAAGCTTGGAAAAATAAATAAGAAGGTCAATTAAATTATAAAACATGAGGTAAAGCTCTACTTTTTTAAATTAAATGGTGCATTTTAAGTGTATTTATTTGGCCATTTATATATTTCTGTTTTTAATTTTGATTATGTCAGTTTTGGTCCTCCATAGCCTCGGACTCAGGTGAGTCAAGTTGTTGCTGCCGGTTAACAGCCGGAAAGGTGAGTCATGCAGCAACACTAACATACATTTACAAAGACAACACACAAATAACAGTAAGGATTTCAGGCAGGGTTCATGTAGACATCTTAAGTTTTTGTTCAATCATCTGCGTGGTGTTTGTTTATTAGGGAGAAATTATCAAATGAACATTTCTGAATAGTGCGTATCTATCGATAAACATGTTTATTTTTAATGGCGCTGGGAGGAGCATGCGCAGCGGGAACTCACCCCCTGATAGACCTCTGCAAGTCTCCACCAGAAGGTTCTCGCTGACAGGCACCCAAAGGTGACGTACGGGCTGAGAACGGTGGTGCTGGGGCTCAGAGAGTTTGGGGAGGTCTGTGGCTTCTCAAAGCTGCACACCCAGCCCTGGTTTAAAGAAAAAAAAAAACTGGATTAAACATCAAAATGATTTAATTTAAGCTTCACACTGCGAGTAAACTTCTCCTCTAAGGCAACTTTGTCAGCTTCTGTCTAAAATAATCTGAGTGCAGGTGGAGAGAAGAGGCGGTGTGGGAGCTGAGGACCGTTCTTTTCATGTGCAGGTCCAGTCTCCTGAGAGCCTCGTGTTCGCCTCCTGGAAACAGCTCCTCTCCGAGAGACGCCGTGTCCCGGCCCAGCTCCTCTAACGTAGGGATCCCGTATTTCTGCTCATGTTTCTCTGAGCAGGGTGTCTTGATGTCTGACAAAAAAAGAGAATTTATTTAACAGGGTTCCTACAGTTTAAGGAAAGTTCAATTTAAAGGGATCCCTGATTAGTTGTAACATTAGACTTTATTTGATAAACATTTATTTCAACTGTAAAATAAAGACTGTAAAAATACTGTAGGATGTTTAGTTTTGTAAATTTTTAAAAATATACTTTAACACAGACAGAGCCATTTTAATTACACACAAGGCATGCTGGGTAAATGATGACGTGGATAGGTCCTCTGTGTGAGCGAGCTGTATCCACCCTGAAGGTTAATCTTGGACAATATCTGATGATCGACTCTTTTAAATGAAACCAGAGAGCGTTGACAGAGAGGAGAAGGTAGAAATGGCTCAGCCTGCAACTGAAAATATAGATGGAGGACCTCAGTTTAGTTTGTTAGCTTGTCGCGTTAGCACCAAGTTAATACATATAAGAAAACATAGCGTTGGTGCTAAAGCTAACAGGCTAAGCTGAGGTTCTTCTTCCATGAAGCAGCTCTGTTGTCCTCTGTC